TCAAGGGGGCTTTTGATTCAGTATCCGTTGAAGTTCTTTCAGAGAAACTCCACGCTTGTGGATTGTCTCCATTAATGAATAATTTTTTGTACAATTTGCTGTCAGAAAAACATATGAGCTTTTCTCATGGAAAGCTAAGCGATTTAGCTACATGGGTCTCCCCCAAGGCTCATGTTTAAGCCCCCTTTTGTACAATTTCTACGTTAGAGAAATTGATGTCTGTCTTAGTGACAATTGCACGTTGAGACAACTTGCAGATGACGGCGTAGTGTCTATCACAGGGCCAAAAGAGGTTGACCTGCAAGGACCCTTACAGGATACCTTGGACAATTTGTCTACTTGGGCTATTCAGCTAGGTATCGAATTCTCCACGGAGAAAACTGAGTTGGTCGTTTTTTCTAGGAAGCATAGCCCAGCACAACCGAAGCTTCAACTTTTGGGTAAACCGATCACTCATTCCATGTCTTTTAAATATCTCGGGGTCTGGTTCGATTCCAAATGCACCTGGAGATCCCACATTGAGTATCTGAGACGAAAATGCCAACTAAGGATCAATTTCCTTCGATCAATTACCGGAACGTGGTGGGGAGCCCATCCACAAGATCTTCTGACGTTGTACCGGACAACGATTTTATCGGTTTTAGAGTACGGTAGTTTTTGCTTCCAGTCGGCAGCTAAAACGCACATCATCAAGCTGGAACGGATCCAGTATCGTTGTCTTCGTATCGCGTTAGGATGCATGCACTCGACTCATACTATGAGTCTCGAAGTGCTGGCGGGCATGTTGCCACTATCCGTCCGGTTTTCAGAGTTATCTCTTAGGCTCCTCACCCGTTGCGAAGTAATGAACCCACTGGTGATCGAAAATTTTGAGAAGCTTCTGGAGCTAAATCCTCAAACATGTTTTATGACTTTGTACTACCTATATTTAACACAGGATGTCAGCCCTTCAAGAAATATTCCCAATCGTGTAATCTTCTCCGATTTCGGCAATTCAGTGAATTTTGATTTATCTATGACACAGGAAATCCGCGGAATTCCAGAGCATCATCGTCCTATGATTGCTCCGTCATTATACGCTGCAAAGTTTGGCCATGTTGATTCTGCAAGAACGTTTTTCACAGATGGATATCTAATAGAGGAGTCCGCTGGTTTTGGTGTATTTAATGAATTTTATAGCGCCTCTCGAAAACTTGAAGCTCCTTGTTCTGTGTATGTGGCTGAACTGGCAGCAATTCACTACACTTTGGAAACTATTGCTTCACTTCTTCCAGACCACTACTTTATTTTTACGGATAGTCTCAGTTCTGTCGAGGCTATCCGTTCCATTAGGCCGGTAAAGCACTTCTCGTATTTTCTCTTGAAAATACGAGAACTGCTTAGTACTTTATCCGTGCGCTCTTTCATCATCACCTTCGCGTGGGTCCCTTCGCATTGCTCAATTTTGGGCAATGAGAAGGCGGATTCACTTGCGAAGGTGGGCGCTATGGAAGGCGACATTTATGATCGACAGATCGCCTATAGTGAATTTTTTTTTTCTATTTATCGTCAGCAGTCGCTCGTTAGCTGGCAACATCAATGGAGTGAAGGGAGCTTGGGACGATGGCTACATTCAATTATCCCTAAGGTGTCGAAGTTTGCATGGTTCAAACTTTGGACTTGAGTCGAGACTTCATACGCGTGATGTCTCGTCTCATGTCCAATCACTATTGTCTAAACGCTCACTTGTTCCGTGTGGGGTTGGGAGACAGCAATTTCTGTGAATGTGGACAAGGTTACCAGGACGCTGATCACATCCTTTGGTCTTGTGCGGAGTATCGTGGAGTCAGATCACATTTTTATGATTCCCTTCGGGCTCGAGGTAGACAACCTAATGTTCCAGTTCGGGATATTTTGGCTAGGCGCGATCTGGAGTTTATGAAACTCATATATGTTTACTTTAAGGATATTAACCTTAGATTGTAAGTTTGATTAACCTTGTGCTTAGTTTGTATTTTGTACGTGTGGGTTTTTTTTTCAATGTTTGTTTTCAAGATGAATAGAAATAATTTCATGCTTTAGGATTAATTAAATAGTTGTATCGTAAACCACATTTCAAACCTCCTTCTTCCCTTTTCCCATCCAAAAAATTGTAAATCTCCACTAACCTCGAGACAACCGCGAGTACTCGGTCCAGTTCCTTTAACTTTAAATTTAAGACAGTAACTATGTATAACGCAAAGGATAAATCGGCTCTGTAAAGTTTATTCGATTGAGCCTGTACAAATAAAGTAATTATAAAAAAAAAACAACTGGATGATGATTTTGGTCTTGATGAAAATGTAGAAAATGAGTAGAATTGCTTGTGAATTTAATTTAGTTTTAAGAGAAAGTTATTAAATAAATTTTATTATGACAATTAGTCAAAGAAGATTATGTTTTATTTTGTAGTATATTCATCCCTGCAGTATAAAAAATGTAGTTCAACTTAGTTAACGATGTTGATATGTGTTCAGTAAAAATAATGGAAACATAGTAAAAAAAATAATCCTTTCGACTAGCTTTAATGATTTATTTCTCGCCTTGAGTATCATAACGGCATAACTGCATTGATCGATTTGTCTTCATCGATTTTCTCTTTTGTTAATAACTTGACCAAATCGAAGCCGATCGACGTGATTTTTTTACTGACGGAAAAGGATCATAACCAGTGCTGCAAAATTTAGACACTAAAAACTGATAATAACAAAACAACCCTGGTCACTCATTTCAGCAAAGAGTCACCATCAGTAGCAATCAATATCAATTGTCAGTGATATTACTATCAGTGACGACGATGTGCAGTTTTTTCATTTGCTGAATTACTATCGAAATCAAATTAATTTAGCAAAACAGTTACAGTTACTATCAAAGTGAATACGAATCATCATCATTATCAGCCTGGAGAACAATAATGTGACACAGAATGCGCAAATTCACAGTTTTTTCACCAAGGGAATCTTTGTCACTGACAAAGAAAAGAGTGAGATTTTGACAAAGGAAATTTTGATTTTCAGTTCTATCAGTGTTGCTGCTGAAATGAATTTTGTCTATATCCACTGAAGTTTTCTCAATGAAAATGACAAATCGCAGCACTGATCATAACATCTTGCCACAGTCCAAAAATTGCGTCGATCGGTTTCGGTTTGGCCAAGTTATTAACGAAAGAGAAAATCGATCAATGCAGATACGCCCTTATGATGCTAAAGGCGAGATTTGGACGGAAAAAATATTTTCAGTAGAGGGGAGGTTCGATAGACAAATAATTTTTCATCAAAATACCTGATTGGTAAAACAATACTCTTATATCACATATATAAAAAAAAATGGGGGAGGGGTCAGGTCTTGGCTAGGAGGGGGGGGGGGGGGTTTCCACCTCCACCTTTCCTATTTAATCTTATGCACAGCAACCTTATTCTAGTTTTGATTTGCATTTGAACTGTCCCTAAAATTAAAAACAAACTTTCAAGTTTATTTATTGTTCAGGAATAAGTAGCTCATTACTGGGTTTAATACTAGTTACACCTTCCGGATGCGATGAAAATACATAAATATGACTAATTTTATGCTTAACTTACTATAATACCATCAAAAAGTGCGGAAAAACCAATAAAATATTTTTGGCCACCACTTTGTATGGAGCCGCCCCATAATGCATCGCGGTGATGCATGTACTGGTGAAATTCAAAATCCATGCTGGTCTGTTGAAATGTAGTTCTTCGAGCGATTCAGGACAAATTCGCTCAAGATTATCTCAAACGCTGCCAAAAGGCCTCGATAGTTCTTAATATCCTGTTTATTGGCAGCTTTGAAAACAAGAAACATATACGACTGCTTCCACAATGATGGGAATTTTCCTTGCTCAAAGGATGCATTAAATATGGCTGCTAAAGGTTCTGCTAAGGCAGCTGAGCAACGGCAGAACACCACTGCCGGAATTCCATCTGGACCAGGAGAAAGTACCATATCACGAGTTACTTCTAATGTGCTCAGTTTCACTAAGTCACTAGGCGTATCAGACGCAGCAGATTCAGCTTCAACGTCACTTGTCGTATTTTTATCGAAGACAGATGCAAAGTGTTTAGCAAACATCTCACACGCTTCGCACGAGAAGTGGACTCTTTCTCATCGAGTAGCATGTTCGACGGTACACTCGAATCTTTCCTTTTGCTGTTGACAAAGCTCCAAAAATTTCGGGGGTTACGCAGCAAATTCCATTGGACTCTGAGGACGTGTGATTTGTACAAGGCACTGGCACTGTCACTGAATGTGAAGGGTTTAACCTCAAAAACACATGATGCAAAAGTGGTCGCCAAGAGAATAGTCTGAGCGTTCTTCAGAAATGAGAAGTAAACATTCAAACTCACGTGAAATCGTAAAGTCAATTTATGATTTTGTTCGAATATAAATATTTTCTTTTGAGAAACAGGTGTCTACTTTCATTAATGAACAGTCCTTATCAATACAAGCTGACATTTGTACATACTGTAAAACAAAAATACATGAACATATATTAATTCTACCCATTGAAAATTTGATAGATGTGAAATCGGTGGAAATCACTCTTAATCACCCTGTAGAGAAAAAGGTTTTTGCGATCGAGTACATATCTAGACGAACATTTGAAAAGGGGCGGAAGAGCCAAAATGTAAACAAACTATATTTTGCCACATATAGAGAGAAAAGTTCACAAACTACTCGATAAACACGAAAAAGGAATTTTCATTTCAAATCATCAAAAACGTTTCCTTTCACATGACGTATTTCCAATTTTCAACTCTATTTTACATCTGGTTGTTATGCCTTGCACCAAAACTACGAATTATATTGTTTTATTATGCAAATCGTATTTCCATAGACTGGAACGATTTCTTCATGTATGTATCTTCTGTTCTAATTGAGCAAATTGCCGATTTTCGATGCAATTTATTAAAAGATAGGTACTAATGTCAAATGAGTTTGCTTTATTGACCCCATAGAATTCACATCCCACGATTACCGTCAGCCATCCGCTGCCGAAATGCTTCAATCAGGTGCGTTTCGTCCATCATCCGACTCCCACCGGCACCGTTTGGTGGAGGTGTCAAACTTTGCAATATAGCCGGAAGCACCTGTTGTCCCACGTTGATCAGAAATTGCGCTATGTCGATGGCCGTCTGAATTTCACTGAGCCCAGGAATGGCGGCACGATCATCGGTTCCTCCGCCGTCCTGCGGCATCACAGCCGGACTCGACTGGCGTCGCTCTCGGCGGAGCTGGGATTTTTGGGAATTTAAAAATCATGAGACTGAATATCGAAAACTTACCGTATGAGCGAAGGCGGCTTGGATCACGGAAAGCAGCGCCAATCCGATGAGTAGCATCGATCCCGAGTGTCTCATTTCTACGCTCTATTGATTCGACCAAACCCCGTTATACTAAGAGCTTACCGAAGCGAATTACTTTGTTTTTATATTGATTCGAAAATATACTGTAATCGGTTTGAAATTTCCCATCATTTGCTGGAATTGCCCCATCCAAATGGGAAATAATACCGCTTCGCTCCGGGCAAATTTGATAGTTTATGTAGTCAAAAGCGAAAGCGAAAGCGGTCCTCTCGTGTCCCATGGTACTTTTTCCTGCCATCGAGAACGATAATACCTATCGGATAACGACCAATCTAAAAAGTTTTTCCCTCCCATTTAATGGCGGCCATAAAACGCAACCGGAATGTTTAAAATTCGAGGTTTAAGTGACGGCGGCGGAGCTATTATAGAATCAACTTTTCGCTATATGTGACCTGCGAGGGGATGTGGACGGTAAAAAAAAGCTGCTAAAATCGTTTGCTGGGAAGGACGGGAACAATTTTCTCAATTTGCCTCGAGACAGACAGCCGCACACATTATTATGTGGGGTTCGTGTGTGCCTTGGCTGTTGAGTTCGAGGAGAACTATTATGCATAATACGAAAGCAGTCAGAAAAAAAATAACAGTCCTACTGTATACACTCTAAACTACTGCACTGTATGGTATCCGTTGCCTGCAGTTATGGAAGCGCCAAGGCAATAAAGGGAAATGAGCATTTCGTGAACGAATGTAATTAAGAAATTCATAGCAAAGAAATTTAATCGTGGATTACTCGACGAGTCGACTCGAGCCATTCCCATTCAGTCAGTAAAGTTGGAGACGGTTGCATTCACAAATGGGGTTTTAAGCAGTTCTTTCGAAATGAAAATGCAGTCTCAGCCAGCCGGTTTGCTTTTGAAAACATTCTAGATTAAAATAAATAAATTTGACATTCTAATTCGACGGCGATTCGAAATATAAAACTATTGCAGTACTACCGTTTCGGGTTCTAGTTGTTGGAGGCAACCAGCATTCGGCTGGATTCCGGCTGTGGACTACCGTGAGTTTTCACATACGCCAGGAAGGTGGTCCAAATCAAGCTGAAGAACCCGGCAAAGACGATTTGATTCTTCGGCCGAACAATTGAAAAGTTTACCGTCTGCACCATCGGCCAGTAGAAGAAACCCACCTTGTAGGTGTCCCAGAATTTGTTGATGACCTCTTCGGCGGCCTGGTTCTGCTTCTTGCGCTCCAGGATGCTCATTCCGTAGAAGAAGAACACGATGGCAAACGGATCGTAGGCCACCTGTTCGGTGAAGGCTTTGGCAAGCGACGACCGGAAGTCCGTCCGAGGCCACATGATGTTGGCAATGCGCATCCAGGAGTACAGCATGGGAGCCGACACGAACGTTCCATATAAACTGTATCTGTGGGTGGATAGCGAAAACAAAACATCAGCACATTCAACCTTGTCTATTTACATCAACTAACCTCAAACATCGCTGCCAGTCGTAGGTGTTCCAGCGCTTACCCTCGATCGTTTGCTGCAGAAGGCTTCCCAGCGGCCAGAGGGCCGAATAAGAGAGCATTCCTCGGAGAATTTTGTACTCATTGGTAACGTCAACAATGAATCTCCACCACATGTTTGCTCGGGATAATTGATGTACCAGAAGGAAGTGAATTCTGAAACGAAACAGATAAAAAACAAAAATAAGGTTAGAATGACAGCTAACGATGTGCTATTGTTTTGATTGAAGACCTCGATTGTGACATGATTGCTAGGATTTTGATTGCTAATGCGTCCCACGCCCTAACTGCAATCAATCGTGATTTTGAAAGTTCATTCGCTTATGTGTCATGGATCAATCCGGGCAGCCAGCCTTGACGTCATTCGAAACAATTTTTACAGTCAGATTATCGCGACATCTTTCCTCTCGCTCGCGTATACATCACATGTTCGTCCGATCCTTCGTCTGTGACGAACGAACGAACAGCCAGCGGCAGGATTCCTATCAAACAGCATCACATTCATAGTGATGTGGATGGTGGTGCTTCTCCACATCTTGTTGTTGATTCATGCGGTGCGCGTCTTTAACGTAGACACGACGGAAGAGCGAATGTAAACAAAGCGTGATAATGTTCACGTGCTCGCCCGTGTCGGTTGGGTTGAGCATGTGGTTGAAAGGGAAGGTATGGGTTTGAAAAATAAATGATGATGGCCAGATAGTAAGTGCCCGGCTAGCTCAGTCGGTAGAGCATGAGACTCTTAATCTCAGGGTCGTGGGTTCGAGCCCCACGTTGGGCGAGGATTTTTTTCTTGGAGGATGAGTCTACTTTTGTTAAACATACATCGTGTAGTGCCATGCGTCCTAGAGGTTTGGTGTCTTATGCAAAATTGTTCGGGCAGATAAGGACTTTCTTTTGGCATAATTAGTTTAGTTCTATATCATGTCGGTCAGATGGCGCTACAACTAACTTTTTCCAGAAGCATCCTAGCAAAAAACTTGTTTCGACAAAGTTGTTTGTTTTAATTTGTTTGACAACTCTTCCGAAGTAACGGCGCCGGTGGTGTAGTGGTAAGCGTGATTACATCTCACCCCAGCAGGCCTGGGGTGAGATGTAATCGGCGCCGCTGGGATGTTCTGAGGCATAACATCTCTGATCACGCCTTCCTTCGGATGGGAAGTAAAGCCGTTGGTCCCCGGTTCATGAGTTGATGGGTCGATAGGGTAGGGTCCAGGTGTGGGAGCTGCCTTCCTGGCACGTCGGTAGCATTGGTGCTCAGCACGGAAAACAAGATCGACGGAAAAAACAAACCAAAGGAAAAAAAAAAAAAAAAAAACTCTTCCGAAGTCGTTAAAGTGAAACAGTCTAAAATGTTGACCAAATCCGCGAAAAACAATTTTTATCAGATTTTTACGTTTTAAACACAAACAATGTTCAATGTTGAATTTCTGTCTGTCTGTCTGACCGTTATAGACTCCGAAACTACTGAACCGATCGCCGTGAAAATTTGTATGCAGGGGTTTTTGGGGCAGAGAAAGGTTCTTATGATGGTTCGAGACCCCTCCAGAATTATCTAGGCAACACCCCAGAATTTTTGGTGTTTTCTTTTGACTCACCAGCCTGTCAAGTTCGATGTAACTATTTAACAGCGATTAATAAAGTTGTACCACAAACAATTTTTTTTAAAGTCCTTAATGTTGACTACTTTTCTTCTTTTGAGAAATTATATGATATTGATATTTAATCGATCGCATAATAAGACGTCTTCAGGCTCTACAAATTTACCATTAGCCCCGGGATTTTTCTTTAATTTTGGGAACTTCGTAAAACTTCAAGGACTTCTAAGAAATTCAGGCAACATCGCAGAAATTGAGGGAAATTAATTGAACATTCTGGGAACTTCATAGATCTTCAGAAAAATTCGTAGAAAAAAGCAACTTGGATAAGTTCTAAAAACTGCGTAGAAGTGGAAAATTCGTAGAAGTTAAGGGAACATTATTTTATTTCAGGGAAGCTCATTCAGCTATTGGGCTGGATACTCTATATAATTTCAGGGAACTTTTTTGAAGCCTCATGGACTTGGAATAGTAGTGGAATTCAAGAAATTTCGTTCGTGGAACTTCGCGGAAAATAATCGCGAAACGTAGAAGTGCGGCAAACTTTATAGAAGTTTTGCATATTTCGTAGCTTTTTGAGGAGCTGCGTTAAACTTCATATAAGTGTAAGGAATTTCGACAATGTTCAGGGAATTTTGTAGAAGATCTAAAAATAGTTCAATTAACTTCTAAGAAGTTCAGGAATTCTCGCTTCAGTTTAGTGAACTTCGTTGCAGTTTGCCAGAGATCTTACTTACAAAAGCTCCACGAACTTCTTGGAGGTTTTGGGAACTTTGTTGAATTTCAAGCAACTTTCTAAATGTAGATGTCTTAGGTGTCTTTCCAGAAGTGCAAAGATGCTCAGAGATCTTCGTATTGGAAAATGGGTCTCTATTTTTCGAACATTCACCAAAATATTATGTTAGCTTCGTGGCCGGTCATCAGATTTTTATTTTTAAAGCTAGAGGTTTTATTTTTATTCAAATATGGTTGGATCTACGTTTTTTTTTAAATTTGCTAGAAAAATTCCACAGCCGCAGACAGTATATGAGCAAGTCAAACGCGCACTCGCTTTCCTTTTAAATTTAGGACATACCTCAAATTCCCTCATCCATCAATGTGAGTTAGGTAAAGGAGTGCGCCATTGAAATGAACATACATTAGAAACCTCGTGGTTCAACAGCTAGAGCAATAAATTAATTTGTCGATCCTGTATGCAAACCGCCGTTCCCAAAAACTATGTTTTGATAATGCTGTTGCTATGCCAATGTTACACATTTTTGCGATCTTCTAGCAATACGGTCAACACTAAAACAAACTAACCTGTAATACCAATTTGTTTGACAGTTGTCCAGCAGTGCTCCCATTTTATTTACAACAATCCAATGCCTGCGAGATTGTGCCGAAGATGTGCGATGAATGTGCCCAAGCTGTGCCAAATCTAATTTCGGCACAGTGTGCTGAGTGACTTACCCCTTGGTTTATGTCAAATTATCTTAACAAAAAAGTAGTAGAAATTCTCATTAATGATCATTACCAAACGTATCCCATGACAATTTAATGCTCACTGCGTGTTTAAGATCATTTCTTCGATTATATTTTATATTGTAGTGCAATACCTTCACAGCAAAAAATAAATTTTAATATTACATCCAAGAGGATGTCCGACTTCAATCATATCGGAAATCTCATGAAATTTTTATGGCCACAAAATAAACAAATGCAGCAAAAGCAGCGTAATGTCAGTTAATGCACTGTAGTAATGATAATTTTGTCCTTTATGGCAAGTAATTATTACACCATATTTTGGACACGGTTGAAGTGCATCCACTTTGATGTGATATAAAAATTATTTTTTACTGTGTTTAGTGGACTTTTCATTGCATCGTAATGGTTGGAGGTGGGTCGAGACTTCATTCCTGTGATGTTTCGCCTCATGTCAAATCACTATTCGTTAAACGCTCACTTGATCCGTGTTGGGCTGGGGGACAGCAATCTCTGTGAATGTGGACAAGGTTGCCAGGACACAGATCACATTATTTGGTCTTGTGCTGAGCATCGCGGAGTCAGATCTGAGCTATACGATTCCCTCCGGGCTCGAGGTAGACAACCAAATGTTCCAGTTCGGGATATTTTGAGTAGACGCGATCTGGAGTCTATGAAACTCATATATGTTTTCTTGAATTTAACCTGTGTTTAGTTTGTATTTTGTGTGTGTGTGTGTGTGTGTGTGTGTGTGTGTGTGTGTGTGTGTGTGTGTGTGTGTGTTTGTGTGTGTGTGTGTGTGTGTGTGTGTGTGTGTGTGTGTGTGTATGTATATGTGTGTGTGTGTGTGTGTGTGTGTGTTTGTGTGTGTGTGTGTGTGTGTGTGTGTGTGTGTGTGTGTGTGTGTGTGTGTGTGTGTGTGTGTGTGTGTGTGTGTGTGTGTGTGTGTGTGTGTGTGTGTGTGTGTGTGTGTGTGTGTGTGTGTGTGTGTGTGTGTGTGTGTGTGTGTGTGTGTGTGTGTGTGTGTGTGTGTGTGTGTGGTTTTTTTAATGTTTGTTTTGTAATAATAGAAGAATTACACTACTGATATCAAGGTGAATAGGAATAAGTTCATGTTTTGGGAATAATAAAATATTTGTATCGTAAATCATATTTCAAACTTTTCCCTCTTCCCATCCTTGAAGCTGTAAATCTCCACTAGCCTCGAGACGACCGCGAGTACTCGGTTCAATTCCTTTAACTTTAGATTTTAACTTTAGATTTAAGACATCAATAATGTGTAACGCAAAAGATGATTTGGCTCTGTAAAGTTTATTCGATTTTTCGAGTATACATGAAGCAAGAATTTAGTCGGTTCAGAATCAATTCTTGTTATATGCACTCAAAAAATTAGGCTGGACGGTATTCTCTCTTCCGTCCTACGAGGCCTGGTGCATGCTTATAAACATCCAAACACTTAAAGAGCGTCGTGAAGGTGCAATGATCTCCTTCATTAATGATCTAATTGCACATCACATTGATTCAGCAGCTATTCTTTCTAGACTAAATTTCTATAAACTTTCGCGGAATCTACGTAATCGATCATGATAATGAGTAAAATCATAGTTAATTTCAAGTAACTCTGAGTTAATCAACATCAAGCCCCGTAACGTGGGTACGTGGTACGTTACGGGATGTAAGATCTACCACCGATTCCTAGTCCTGACTACTTAAAACTTTTTCAGTAATCCAAGGAACACGTCTTAGTCCTTGTTACTATGCCTTGTTGATAGTGACAAGACTCGGCTTTGTCCAGCGAGGATGATCTTGAAACATGGAAAAAATCAGTTAGTTAGTCTTCATATATGTGATTCCTAATCTTCTATTCGTTGTTATCTTGTTTGAAGTGGTTAAGACTAGGGTTCTGATGCATGGTAATTATCGGTTTCATTCCTGCAAAATGCAAATTTTATCTCAAATAAATTAAATGTCGGGTAGGTAGATGACGTCTGTATGGATTTTTCATTGGAGGTTTGTATTTGTTGAAAAAAGCGAGACTACTTTGATCAATTTTAAGTAATTATGAGTTGCTCAAATTTACTCGCTGTGAAACTATTT